AAGCGAGAGTGGACACTCAATGTGAATTTCTTTGCCCCTTACATCAACCTTCCAACGCCTAAGATACGAGTCGAAGGCGGACCGCACGTATGTGACGTCGATTTCATCCCATGCCTTATTCAAGGCCGACTTGAGCGAGTCGATTCTTCTGTGGCAAGTGGAGCAGGCCTTCTGCTCAAGCACCAACCTCATCGAGTAGTCCAATGGCTTAAGGTTGGAGGAGACAGACGGCCATTTAATGGCAGAAATGAGGCCGGTAGCTTGGCCGCGCACCAAGCCTGGGTCTTCCGCGACTTGTGCGCGGGCGCGGAGTCTTGCTGGAAGACCCAGTGCGGGTTTTTGAAGTAGCTAGGCAGGTAGGCTCCAAGGATGTAGCTCCTTCTCCAAGGCGTGCTCGATGCAGTGGTCCGTTTCGATTTTTACGCCGGAATAGAAGAAAGTAAGTGGAGATTTCCCGCTGACGCACACTTCGGCCCATATCACCACGCTGGCACGGTAAGAAATCCGCGAACAATTCTTCTCTAGGAATTGGTCTGCTGTGCGGATGAGGTGAACCGCGTATTGTGGGCATTCGTCGCTGCCTCCACTTTGAACCGCTTCTCGTCGAAAAAAGCAACGGTCACTGGGTGCTCCCGGGCAGCGGTTCCCGCAAGCATGGCCCGGCATCTTGTGAGTTGGACGGCCTCACCCTTCTCCGTCAGGCTATAGCTTCTTCTGATACTGTTAGAATAGAGCCTAAGGTGTACCAAACTTCCGATGGATCGTCGCGAGAACTTGAGCTCCTTGGCTAATTTTCCGCATGTTGCGACGAGGATCCCTGTCGATGCGCTTCTTGACGGCTCTTCGGTTCGTGGAAGTTATTGCGGTGCGAGGTCTTCCAGCTCGAGGACCTACGGCAGCCCTACAAGTCTCACTGCCCAAGGTGGTAGTGTACCAACCTTCCAATGGGTCGTCGCGTCACTCCTAAAAGTGCTACAGACTTTCGGGAGCAGACGGAAAGCTTCTTACCGATAAGGGTTGCAGTGGCGCCAGCGTCGTGTGAGTGCACATTGGTGCCACGCTTGGACTAGCTAATCGGATTTTGAAGAAATTCAGTGAAAATGTTAAAATCATATCACTTCTCAATAGTAACACATCAGATCAGATTTACAGTTCATCGAGTTCAATGTGTAGTACTACTCGGCCAAAGATTTGTAACAGTAATTTCAAGCCACGTTGAGATTGAGAGTGGTCTTCTCCGAGATTGTCGTCGTCTTATACTTCTGCCCTATTCTTTCCATCTGTAAAAATAGTAAAAGAAATGTTGCTCAAGCGATGTAATCTGGCTTACCCATCTAGTTCCCCTTTCTGGTCTTTCACTGAATCGTCCGGGGTGTATCTGTCGCAAATTGTGCAATAGTCTAGCATCTTTCTTGAATGTTCTGGAAACTTTCATGAAACTACTGTTTACCGACACTAAGGGATTGTATGTAATTAATATATCTAGCTCTCACTTTCTTGCTTATTTAACTTCATAATCATCATACTGTTTCCCTTGTCAAAAACTCTCAGAAGTCTAAACTCGGTCACTGCCGAAATCTATCGAGAGTTGGGGCACGTCATTGACCTTGATACTTCTGGCTTTCGAGCAGTTCAGAGCGCATATGAAGCGCTGCCCATGCCCATATGTACAAATGAGAAGAGTTTTTTTGTGTGTATGTATATCTCAAAACCTCCATAATACTCAAGCGAAAATGTGGGATACGTCCTAGCATTTACGACTTCTTCTTACGCAAGATGACTTTGCTCTCCTTACAGTTTGCTCTCAGACATGGCATTAGAGTCTACTAGGCAATTGGAAAACTTGAGAGAATCATATCTTACACGATACCCCACGCTAAAGTAGTACCAACTTCAGTTTCGCCATCATCTGTTCCGAAATTATTACGAAAAAGTCGGCATGGGATCTCGAAAATCAGGATTATGACATGGACGGTAAGGTTTTAGACTAATTTTTTTGACCCTTTTAAAATAGATCAAGTTTCGCCAGATTTTATCTGAAAAGAATCCTCGTTCGCCCATAATTTATGTCAAAACTTTAGTTTTCATTGACATAAAAAAAACTACGTGGGAAAATTTGGTCAAGTTACTTTATAATGTTAAATAAGAGATTTAGTTGTTTGGAATGTAAGAGCTGTGATTGGCTGCTTTCATAGTCCGCCGGCCGGCGTGCCGGCGTGCCAGCCGAGGCAGTGCTAGAGGGGAGGAGGGAGGCAGACGGTCGGTCAGCCCCTTTGAAGGGCCGTAAACAAAGAGTGACAGGGTCAAAAACCATTTGCACAAGCCCCTGGTTGTGGACTCCATTTGCACAAGCGGACTATGAAAACAGCCATTCAAACTGGCATGTTGAAATGATAGTAATGAAGCAGTCTTCGACTCTCAAAACTTAAAGGCACAGTCCACAATAATTTTGAGGTCATTCCAAGTTAAGCAGCTTAATGGCACAGTTCACGATAAAAATGTTTTCCGAGTTCTCCCCTATACCCAATGGCTTTCAAGGGTGACAGAGAGGATGCTGTCGGGTCCGAAAACTCAACAGCTAGGGCATAATAGGAGCCCGCTTACCGGATCGCCCGGGTTCCCCGCTCCTCGATCGATGGTGTGTCAGACTAGTGTCGAGGCTTTGCAGATTGCAGTATTCGCCCCAGGACCCACGCAATATCTCGCTGAGCACTGAACCATTTTTGCGCTCTAGCGCGGTAACTATACACTACTCTCTGGTGTCAGAGACGCAGAGCAGAGTTTCAGCTCGCTCAACCATTGCTTTCACGCCGTTTTTTCTGCGTGCACTCGTCCAACCTCCTTTTACGCTTTTTCCGTCATTTTTGCACTACACTCTACTGTAGCTTTCATTATCCTTCAAAAACCGGTTACCCAAAAATTATCGTGAACTGTGCCTCTGAGTATTGGTTGAGAATAGTCCAATGGTGGTGAAGGAAGATTTCGACAAAAATAAGGCTCTGCAAAAGTAGGGGAGATAGAGGTCGGACGGAATTACCGTGACGGAAATAAGGGTAACGGAACTTCTCCCCTATCGCGGCATTCTCCCTTGCGGCATGCGGCAAATTTCACTGCAATTACCGTACTCACCGCGCCTCCCGAAAATCGATAGGACGCGATATTTTTCCTTGACTGGCTTGCTTTTTCATTGGATTTTATCGTTTTTTCTTCTCCTTCTTTTTAGTTTTCATGTTTATTAGACTTAATTAATTGAAATGACTCCTCTTATATAAACCACGATCAAGACCGCATTGGAATTGAAAAGAGTGGCCAGCCAATTCAAATAATTAAAGGACTCCCTACCTCACAAATTGCGCGCTCCAATCTTTCATCGCAATCCTGCGATAGGCGGCGGGTGCGGCGTGTGCGACGCCGTGTTAGGGGAGAAGTTCCCGGATCCCGGAAATAACATGGAAGGGGTTTTCGGACGAGATTTCAGTTGTTGCAATTCCGCGGAAAGCTGAATACATCAAGCCAGAACTGTCCGGAATTGTCTATCACTGTCGCTATTGGACATGCTATCTTGTTTGAACTTCTCTTATGGGTTCTCCTTTCGGTGCAGCCTCTACATTGTCAGTGGAACTCGTCCGAGGATGCATACGGGATATTTGAGCCTTTATAACACCCTATGTAGGTCGTCTTCTGACCTGACAGCGTCACATATGGTATACGAGGGGGGCACAAATTTGTCCTAGATATCTCATGAGCCATTTTATTAGCGGACTGTTCCTTCGATAGGGAAGTGACGCGTCCCGGGCGCTTTCATTTACCAGAGGAGAATTGTAGGGTTTTCTGTACTTGTTTGCAAAATTCAAATTCCGGGAGTCTGTTTTTTAGCTCGGAATATTCTGGTGGGTTTGAAATAGGTAACGACGATTTTTTTTACAAACCCGTGTTGTTGTGCTTAACACTATTGATTCGCACAAAAAAAAACGAAAAAATACCATAACGGCAGGTACCATAGTTTTATGAAGTCACAGGCGCATCGAAGAAGTTGCTGTCAGATGATATGAATTGTACTGCAAGACCGTCCGTTTGAAAATCTTGAATAGCCTTCGAAGGAGTTTTAGCAACAAGACGGCATAATTAGTTGGAATCGTTCAGTTCATTTCTTCCCCTTTATTTGAGTAGCGTTGTTCTGACAACTCTCGAATGTAATGTGCCCACGATAAATTACCCGGTGCAAATCCTAAGTTAATTCGTTCCCATTTTCATCAATCTGCATATTATTTCCATGGAGTGCTGTGCCTCGTTGATGTTTCAAGTGCTTGTTCAGAACTAATTTATAAAATCAAACGTGGAGGTCGATCGCCAATCCGACCGTCACTGGAGACTGATGATGAGCACAATGCGAGCCTTTCACTGCTAGTTCGTGATTGTTGGAATGAAGAAATCGACGAGCGTCCATCTGGTAGTCAAGTCAGAACGCTCATCAAAGGGCTCAACACGAATAAGTAAGGTTCTTTCCTTTTCGTGCAGGGTTCACAGAGATTCAGGCATTCCTGAACCTCTGGCTTTGCCGGATTGTTCAATGCATGAATTTGATTACGTTTTTTACTGTGTCACTTTCATTAGCCCTAAAACGAGCATAGCGTAATGTAAATCAATACATCAGTTCAAAAATGTCAACAATAGATGCTCAAGAAACGAATATCAAATAAACATCTCTCATTTATTTAATCGGTTGCTTTGGAGATTTAAGTCTCAAGGGGATTTACAAGGAAGGTCTTTCAGGGCGTGAGACGTTTTTGAAAATGGTTTTTTGCATGGTGTAGGGGCATGAGCACTGAATATATAACTATGGTTTATTTCCGCTAAATGGCCTTCTGAATG